ATCTCTCAGCCTGATCTGGAAGGATGAGAATGAGATTCAATCCGTGTTTGATTCTCAAACTAGTCCTACTTTCTGCCAGTTACTTTCGGCTTGCACCACTTGTTTCCTAAACAAGTTTCTGATATGGGTACACTTAAATGGTTTTATCCAACTATCCTGATCAGTGTAAGAAGAAGACAAATTAAGGCACATGTTTGGTAAAACAAGTGGCAGTGTTCTAGAGGTTCAGAGATACACATGTTTCTAACATAGTTATTCGGGGGAGGGTTCATTGTTATATAACATCTTTTTGGAGGTAGTGAAGCATTTGTTTGATCCTAATCCATGTATCTGGCCAGTATGGTACTTGATTATCAACAACATGCTTCTCGGCTGTGTTCATTTATTGGGTTTTGAACTATGCATCTAGTTTACACTTTATCTTAACGTCAAGCCTAAATTTCAAAGATAGGTCAACCTCCTCTTTAGAGGAACCTCAACTAAGAAAAATGTGATAGACTAAAACTGATACCAGGCAAAGCATGGGAAGCATTGGTTTGAGATGATCTGTGCTTTAAGTTTCTTCAATGAGTCAAATCTGTTGAGTATTGAAATTATTAGTGAATATTTTTTAAGATAAATATGTCTGAGATGTTCTGCTTTATTATGGTGTCTATTTTCAAATATAATACAAACTATAACTTAGGCTAGAGATCTCCTCCTTCTAACCTTCCTTCCCCCCTTAATTTTCTCTTTAAGGAGAAAAATCAAGTAACATTTCCAGCTATAGAACCTGGAAAGAGTAAAAGACATTTCAAAGTGGTTCTCCAGCATTGTCATTGTCTTTTTTGTGATTAACTTTGTGTTGCACGCACATGCAAATGGCACCTATCAATAACTCTTTCAGATTACTTACGTATGATTATATTTCCTTGATATTGATCTTAAACTCTTTATTTTGATTTTTTTTATAGGTTGTTGCAAGTACTGTATTCTGCTTGTTAGTGGTTGCATTTTATGCTTTCTTCGCTCCTTTCCTTGGAGGGCGCATCTGGGAATATGCTCTGGTTGCAGCTTACTCACTCGTGGTATGCGAATTCATTTATTTTATTTATCTATACTAGGGCTACAAAAAATCCTTTATTATACTTTTTTTTTGTATGAAAGATATACTAGATTACAAATCTAGGACATTTCCAATACCTGCTACAGATTTAGAGCAAATAATTTTGGTGAAAAAAGATTTTTCCTTTTTTAATTTGCTTAATGCAATACAAGCATGACCACTAAGTCCTATGTCACTACCATTCTTTTGATTGCTATGCAGGCACTCCTTGTTTTTATACTTTATGTTCGGTGCACTGCAATTAACCCAGCTGATCCTGGCATCATGTCAAAATTTAATGGTGGATCAAACAAATTTGAAAACCATGGGTTGTCAGTGAAGGATTTACCCAGAAAGAATGATGATGTTGGCAGTGGGCTGCATTCATCACCATCAACCGTTTCCAGAAGTTCCAGGGCAGCACCGAACTCAAGTATGAAAGGTTCAGTGGGAGATCCTGAAAATATAGATTCTTCAACACAGTATGCAAGCAGGAAATCTTGTTTCATTGGAGGAATCTTTTGTGATTTATTTGTTCATGAAGATTGTCGCAAGCGAACCACCTGCTGAGCAAGGCAATGAAGATGCTTTGTTCTGCACATTGTGCAATGCCGAGGTATTTTGGAACCTATTTGGCTACCCCTTTTATCATATTATATTAGCTTTAAGTTTTACCATCTTTTTGTAATTTTATGTCCATGGTGTGCTTAACATTCTCCACAATAAATTTGTAAACTTGCTTTTATCTTGTTCTTCATGCAATTGGGGTGGAGTGGGAGTGGGAGTAGGGTAACCTTCTTGAGTCAGAATTAATGTTGCCAGAGATCAAATAAAGGGAAATATGCACTACATTTTCATTAGCATGTTCATGGTGCCTCGGTACCTCTAGTCCGCTATTTTCTACTATTTTTTCTTCACTACTCTCTTGCATTTTCACATGACATGCTTAGCACCAATCTTATCATCCACTACAAGTCCACGTGACTACAGGCTGTTACTTCTATCTGCTTCTGTCAATGCTACTGCCAGATGTATTGTAAGGAAATAGTGAAAATAGAGCTGATTGCAAAAAACTGAACATCTTAGACCAAATATTTGGATTCCAACAATCAAGACAAAAAAAAACATATAGAAAGGTATTGGTCCATTAGTTTTTTTTTCATTGATTAAAATCTTTTCTTTTTAACTAAATCAAGCCTTGACAGTTTTTGTGGGGGCTGGGGTGTTGATCAATGGAACACTTGATTGTTATATTCAAACATTTTGCTGATCAGGAATTGAAAGGTTGGCAATATCTTAAAATGGTGCATGGCTTTCTTTCTAACTCATGAATGATTTCCACGTGCAGGTGCGCAAGTTTAGTAAACATTGTAGAAGTGATAAATGTGTAGATGGTTTTGATCATCACTGCCGGGTAAATATTTTTCATGTTGCTTCAAGTGTTCTTTATGGTCATAATTGTAATAGAACACCTTTCAACTTATATAGTATTGACATAATCTGGTTATTTGTTTGTGGAAATAATCTTCATCTCATATGTGACTGCAGTGGCTAAACAATTGTGTAGGACAACAAAATTATTCACATTCATCTCTCTCATGGCCATCAGTAGTGTTTGGGTATGCTTTTTAGTCAATTGCTTTTTATATGAAAATCATATTGCCCAGATTCTGATGATGCTTCTCTCTTCGTGGTTCAGCTAGTTATGGAAGCTGGTGTCGGTATTGCTGTCTTAGTTAGCTGCTTTGTTAACAAGAAGGGTATGGAGACTGAGATTATTGATAGGCTTGGAAATGGTTTTTCTCGTGCTCCATTTGCAACAGTAGTGGTACACCCCTTAGCAAACACTTTGAAGTTGATATGAAACTTCTGATTTTTTATGCTCGTAAGTATTTGAGTTTGATCCAAAATTTTGTAGGCGGTATGTACTGCAGTTTCTTTCCTGGCTTGTGTACCACTGGGTGAACTTTTCTTCTTCCACATTATACTAATCAGAAAGGTAAGTCTCCTAGAAATGAGCCATTACTGTTGTTTTTGCAGTGCACTAGTTTCTGGTTATAAGATGTCAAATTTTGAAGACATTCACATTTATAGCCAGAGTCGTAGTTTTTGAAATTTGTACATTTTAGTACCTGGATTTAATGATATAAGGTAAATAGAGTTATCTTATTGGGAAGACAGTATGGCAGTTTTAAAATTTGCATGGAATCAGGGTATTACAACCTACGAATATGTTGTGGCAATGAGAGCAATGAGTGAAGCCCCTGCTGGAGCATCCGTGGATGAGGAAATGCCGAATGTGATGTATTCTCCATCTGGATCAGCTACAACCAGCATGAGCGGTGGAAGTTCTCTTGGCCTTCAGTACAAGGGAGCATGGTGTACCCCTCCTAGAGTTTTTGTGGATTATCAGGTACTTCCATTTAAATGTTTGCTATATTTGTTTTGTTTGTATGAAACCCATAAAGTAACGCAATCTAACAGTAGAGAACATTTAAGTTATTCTTAGGGTTGCTGGACAATGGACATGATTCAAATTACTGAAATCTGAAAATTTTAGACCTCAAGTATTTATGAGTTTAGAGCTAGGCTGTATATATGAATACAACATGGAAGGTTCTATGGCACTGCAGTCGTAAAAAGTTGCTTAAATTTGTTCATGTGATAAGTTCTATGATGCCTTTTTCATTATAATTAATTTGAGCCTACCTTCAAGGAAGTAGATTCATCCTACTTTTGGAGTTGTGTGTCTGTCGCCTTTTGCGTCTATGTTCTCCCATTGATATGTATTTTTTAGTATAATACGGATGAGTTAAAACCTCTGTTGGATATGGCTACATCAGGATGAAGTAGTGCCCCATTTGGAGCCTGGAATGCTCCCATCCACTGTTGACCCAGATGCAGCTGGTTTTGCAGAAAGAGGGAACAAGGGACCCAAAAGGCCTGTCCGTATTAGTGCGTGGAAGCTGGCCAAGTTAGATTCTACTGATGCCATGAGGGCAGCAGCCAGAGCAAGAGCATCTTCTTCTGTTCTACGGCCTGTTAATAACCATCGTATGGGAGATCCTGATCTTAGTTCCAGTGGAAACCTGAGCATTAGAAGTAGTATTAGCACAGATACAGGTGCAAATAAAGAGATAAAGAATGATCAACGATTATCGCCACTAGGAAACTCTTTTGCGCCGAGTCAAGGTAGCCGTGATGAGTATGAAACAGGAACTCAGAGTGTAAGTAGCTTCAGCAGTCCAAGCCACATTCATGAGTCGGTCACGCTTAGCCCACTATCTCAACCTCAAGGTGATCGTACCTTTATGTCTAACGCTCAATTACCTGCTACCAACAATCCCATCAGGCCTGGCCCGTCTGCTTCTGATGAAAGGGTAATGCACAAGAGTGGGACTGTTGATCCATTGTTGCTTTCTGCTCCTGCCGCTTCCCTTCTTAGAGATGTCAAAAGGACTTCGGTTGTATGGGATCAAGAAGCTGGTAGGTATTTATCTGTCCCTGTCACTGCCACTGATGCTCGGAATAGGTCATCCATGCAAATAGGTTTGCCAAATTCTAGTGGAGAAACTAGCACGCAGGCTAGAAGGGCAGTTTTTCCACCGCATGAGTCATCTTTGGCTGCAAGGGGTCCGGCACAACAGGCAGAGAAGCTATTGTATACAGGAGACTATTTTCTTTGGTGGCCCACTTTTGAGTGTTCCGGTTAGAGATAGTATGAGAAATGATAAGGGTTTGGGTTCAAGGGAAGCTCAAGAAAATGTTGGTCTGAACTTGCCTCGAGAGTCTATATTCAAAAGGGACTCAGTCCCGAACCAACTTCCTGTGTTTGTTCCCAGGAGGCTTTGAAAACAACTCCGCCGCATCTGGTTCTGGTTTCAAGTAGTCCTAACAAAGTTTCTGCACATTTCCCCCTCAAATCATCAAGATTAGTGTGAAAGGACAACAGAGATCCAAGAAACCTCCCGGACGAGATGCTTGTACGCTGGAACCTTGAAGTTTTGAGATTTTGCAAACTAGATTATTGCATGGTTCAAGTGGTCTCTTCTCAAATGATTCAAACGATTCATCTCTGAAAAAGCTTGAAAACTTAAAATTTCCATAAGATTATGTAATTTCTGTTGGATATTGTACTGCTGCTTGTAAGATAATTTTTAAGATTTACGGTTGATGGATAGAAACATTTGTTAACATTACTGCTCTTTATGATTATGCTTCAATCTCAGAACATTGTCAATGGAGGCACTCAAACCAGGCCTACAGGAAAGCAAGGTATATTATTCAAGAGAAAAACATTGGGATTTTGTAATTTTTGTTTGCAATTAACAACAATGCAGAATCATTTTTAAAATCAATGGGGACAATAATCCTTTCTGCAAAAACAAAAATTAAAGCTGATCTATTTTCTTCCAAAATTTTTGCAAGAGAACAATTGTGGTTGAACCTATCTGTACATATGAACCAAAGTTAGTGATCAAAATTGGATGACAATGATAGAAACCTGTAAAAATGAAAGGGGTAAGGAGAATCTCAACCATTGCCTGATTAATCTGTCAAAAGTTCATCACAGACGAGCTGAGGTTGAGCAAAGGCTCCAATGCACTAGGAGCAAACTTTCGCGCAAAGAGATAACACATGGATGTTTGCTCGTCGTTATATGCACAAAGTGTCCCGTTATTCCTTATAGCTTGTATAAAACCCTCTGTGACACTAACTCCCTCGTGCATTGCTGGATGAGGGCCTCCCATTGACCAGTCGACCCAAGTCACAGTCCGGTTTGCATTCATTGATCCATGGAACATATTCAAGAAAGTTGGAATGTAATGCTCATCTGGATAGCAAGCAGGCTTACAATACTTCTTGAAAAGGTTGTAGTACTTGGTGTCTGAGACAATGTACGAGGCAACTGAACGTTGCATCTCAAACCATTGTGATCCTTTTCGCCATTGATAGAGCTTAATGTGGGGAAGCATCTTGCGGTTGTAGCGACCGCGACCGTAGCGGGTGGGATCATCGTATGACTCAACAAAACTGTAGCTAGAACCGATGAAATACTTGTAGACAGTTGGGAAGTTATAGAGTGGGATGCAGCTCTCAGAAAGAAGAACAAATCGCTCGTTTGAGAAGTCAAGCAGTGCATTGGCTAGTAGCCGCCTCTCTGCATCAGCCAGTGAAACAGTCCCCCATTCCACACGCTGAACAAATGAAAATAGGCACGTGAAATAAATAAATAAATAAATACATACATACATACATATATATATATATATGTGTGTGTATGGATATACTTGATCAGAAATGACAAAGTTAATGTATTTCAGAAAGAAAGAAAAATTCATGCTAAATGTGGTTTTACTGGTCCCAAGTGCTTAAACCAATTTAACCATTGATTTGTTAAGACCTAAAAGCAGAATTTCCCACTTATCTCTCTCTCTCTCTCTCTCTCTCTTACTATTACTACTACTATTACTAGAGGAAACAATAAAGTGACTTTAGCAAGAATATGGCAAAAAACAGTAGTTCCAAAATATTAATAATAATAATGAAGATGGGGGAAAAACAGAGGCAACCGAACAGAAGAAAGTGGACCAAAGAAGAGAATAACACAGGTTAAGAGGCAATCATATCATATGTCATTTGTCAGTGCAGGTAACGTTCCAGAGGACAGCTATTTATACCTTCCTTGATGACAATCGGGGAGCAATAAAATCATAACGAGTGTTGATGTCACATTCTTAACCAGAGGAATAAGAACTATGTCATTCTACATTGATTCTCACTATTTTCTTATGCATCACCATGGCTAACGAAATTAAGAAGGATGAGCTTCTGCAATTAAAGGATTGAATAGGATTGAGCTGAGAAGATGGATATAAGATTAAAAAAAACAAAAAGGTGTGAAGTGGAAAATAGGATAGTGAATTTAAAAAAAAAATTAAATGCCATGAACATCAAGAATAAGAAGGATTTTTATTGGTTCATGACAAAAGTTTAAAGAATTTGATAGACTTTATGCTAGAAGGTTTGAAGCTGGAAGTCCTGAGATCTAAAACCTCTTTATGGATAGTGGTGGAAGAGAGACAAAACTCATTATTTATACAGATGCCACGGCAGATTTCATTAGGCCAGTAAACGAACCGAACGTTCAGCAAATAGTTTGTGAACTGCTCGGTGGAAAGTTCATTTATTTATTAAACGAACGAACATGAATAAGATTTTCTGTTTGTTTAGTTAAATAAACGAACACGAACAAACGGTAAGTTCGATCATTTACGTTCATGAACATTCGATAATCCGTTCGTTTATGTTCGGTAATTTGTTCGTTTACATTCAGTATGCATTAGTTTATGTTCGTTAATTTAATTAAATTTATATTTATGTTCGTTTACTTATATTCTTTTAAGAATTTTTAATTGATTTAAAAGAAAGTTACATTTTATGTTTGTTCGTTTACGTTCGTTTGTTCATTTGCATTCGTTTGTTCGTTTAAACGAACGAACATAAACAAATACGAACAAGCTAAATTCCTTGACGAACGAACACGAACAAGAAATTCAATTTGTTTAGTTGTTCGTGTTCATTCGTTTATTAGGTTAAAATTAAGCAAATGAACATAAACATACCCTCATTCGTGTTCGTTTACAGGCGTAGATTTCAGCATCGAAACTCTTAAAATGACTCTGGAGGAATTGTAATAAACAATCATCTGAATATAAAATGGAAAAAATGGTTTCTAAATCTTCTACTTGGAAAATCTAGGAAAGGAATAGCACATGTATATTGCAATATTTCTCCCCAAGAATACAAACACCTCATAAAATATGTGAATGAACGGCTTTATAATTCTTACATCTCTTTCCAACTTTATCATGCATGGCATTTAACCATTGTTTACAGTTCAACAACACTCCAAAAAGCATCAAAACTCCATCTAATCCCAAACAACTTACATCTTACTAACAACAATAACTGAATCCCTTAGACCCTAATGTTCTCTAACAATATTGAATTGTCTCTACAATGTAAATAGCATATCGAGCGGAGTTGCATCCAAGTTTCATATTCACAAAATGACCATTTCCCTAAGTTTCAATGAAGCACAAGTAGAGTTTTTTGAACAGAAAATGTTTACCGAAAATTTCAAGCATCCATCAGCCAATGTCATAATTAGTACAAAAAAATATAAAACCCTCAAATCTAACATGAATCGGTGTTCGATAAACATTGAAATGGTACCTGACTAGGGATCTGTCTCCCATGGAAAGGAGAGTCTATGGAGGCATTGAGGTAATAATCGGGAGGAGTATGGAGATAAATGGAGAAATACTTATCATGGTCCTTAAAGAACCTCTCCCACAAAGGCATGAAAGGCAAAGGCCCTCTAGTGATAAACATGAAGGCCACCTTTGGCAGTCTGGGAAACGGGTACACTTTTTTGTAAGGCGTCAATGAAGCTCTCCAGAACAACTCATCATCAGATAGTTTATGAGTCAAATTCGTTGGATGAAGGAAGGCATCCATGGAAAGACAGTTCGGTTCTGGACATGGAGCTCGAGATTGACTGCAATTGGCTTTGCTGCTGGAGACTTGAAAAGAAGTGACCGTCGAAGTCGAGAACAGCTGCGCTTGGGGAGAGAAATAGGTGTTTATGTGAGCGCTGGTGGCTAATCCGATGATAATCCCGGCGACGAAAACCACCAGAAACGAGAGAATCTGAACCAATTTCAGCAAGCCACTGTACTTCTCGGCATCTTCTTTATCTCCTCTGCTTCTCACCATGCTTTCTTCTGATTTTCCCTTTCCCAAACAGGCAATTCCACAAACAGATTTGACCCTTTTCTTCTTCTTCCTTCAACAACGCAAACCAATTCAAAACAAAGGAGATCACGATCAAGATCGCGATCAATCCAAATACCAAAATATTTCACAAGCAATAAATGAACGAATCGACTCGCTTTGAATTAGCAGGTCCAAAGATCCACTAATTTTCAATACCCTGAATATTGTTTTCAAAGTTCCATGATTCTTTGGTACGACCCAGGGGGAGGAGACTACGGATGTTTTCCTACTTTGATTTTTGATTTCTGCTGTTGACAGAAAGCAACTGGGCTAATAGCCCAACCAATTAAAAACATTAATTAATTATGAAAAAGACAAATAGTACTCAAAATGTTTTTTTCCGGTATTTAACGCCGCGTATTGGCATTAGCATATTACATTCAAAAGCGGATGATGGCATTGCCCAGTGAAGTCCAACAGGATTGCTGTATCAGCATGTTCTTTTTTTCTGTCTTGGATTGGGAAATTTCAACATTGTTCGTCTTCTTCATCCTCTATTTCTTCAATTCTCATCAACATTATTCATTTTCTTCATCGCTAACATGGTCGTTGTGGAACATTCTTTCGGTCTCCATCATCATTAAACAATTCAAATATATTTACAGTAGATGAAAAATGGGTTTTTTATGCTTTCAAATAGTACATAATACTTCGAGTTTGATTGATACCTTGTCAAGTTGTAGATGCATTAATGCCAATGGATCATATTTCTAGGCTAAGTTCTTCAAGCGATTCAAATGGAGTTCTGACATGTCCTTTTCACTTTCATGATTATGTAAAGAATGCAAGAGACTCCAAAAGCACAAACTGTCTCAAGGACCTTACTAGCCTAAGATACAAGTAAGGAAAGATTTAAAGAAAACTGGTGATGTTGAATGTCATACACATATATCATGCAATAATATTCTCAATTTCAATGGATAATTTCACAAATTTTTATAGATGTTCGTACAACTTCAAATTTAACAAAAATTAGATTATAGCTAACTGCAGCGTTATTATAAATTAGGTAAACTACTTGCATGACCACCCAACTATGGGTTTGATGCCGGTATGACCACCATTTTCAAAATTGTATCAATATGCCCACCTAATTATTTAATTGGTTTCGATATAACTACTTGCCGTTAACATTTAATGGGAGTGATTATATGACCATTAACAAAATTAATATAATTACATATTTAATCCTTATACATCTTCTCATGTTGGTACTAATTTCAATTTAATTTAATAAATTTATTTCTCCAATCAAATTATGAGACATGTAATTACCTAATTAGAGGGCTTTTTTAATTTTAAATTAATTAATTTAAATAAATTTCCAATCTAATCTAAAAGTGACACGTCATCTTTTGAATTGAAGAGAAGTTTTGACACCTAAAAGAACTAGAATTGGGTCTCAAGAGTAGCCTACGCAAGCCTACTGCTGAGCCAATTCTTACCATTGTTATCAAGATAGCTTAATTGCATTTGAACACAAGATAAGTTAGTAACTAAGCAAAGCCTAAACCAATGGACTAAATCTAATATTTAAAAGTTAATTAAAATATTTTTTACATATTATAGACACTAGTTTTCGTCGGCTCTTAAATTCGAACATTCTTAAGTTATATTTAAATTACTATTTAAATTATAATTTTAATAATTAATTAAATATTAAAAGTATATTAATATATATTATTTTTATTATGTTTTGCAGGTCCCATTACAAACTCGAGACCGTCCCAAAATACAAAACAGACCCAGGTCTGAAACCAAATGGTACAAAGTTCCAGCAGGCCCAAATTACAAAACCCTAATGGCCCATTATGTTAATATTTTGGCTAACCCTAAATTTAGGGTTAGCCACATGCCGTCGCCGCCAGGAAAGGGAGCCGTTCCCGCCGTTTCCGACGCCTCCGTAAAGATCTCCAGCCGCCGACTTCAAGCCGAGTCAACAAAATCCCGTAGAATCCAGAACTTTAACCCTGGGTTTCCCGCTGCAACCCCCACCAACCGAACTGATTCACCAACAACCCCCTCTGTTGTGGCCATCTTTGCCTCACCAAACACGCAAGCACAATGGATGTAACATGCAAGATCAGAAACGAACAAAGGGAGATTCGAAGAAAAAAAAACAGAGCCATTTTTCGGAGGAGATTTTTCAACAAATCAAAAAGAAATAAACTAGTGAGGAATTTGTAAAAGAAAAACAAAGAGAGACATTTTGTTTTATTTAGATCTACTCTATTTGGAGTCTTTTTTGAAGAAAAAAAGCTTAGATTCGAGTGTAGAAGACAAAAAGGAGCTAATACCTTTTCCGTCGCCAACGAACGGTAGCCGGGGTTGAGACGGGCGAAGCGACGACAGAGGAGCGGTGGAAAGGTCACCGGATTCTGGGTTCTTGGATGAAACCCATAAACATTTGAAAAACATATCAGAGAAAAAAGGAAGGTTGGGTTTGATCTGAAAATTTTTAAAAGACAAAATGAAGCCTGTTTTTTATTTTTATGTTTGACGTTTTTACTCTCATTAAAGGAAACAAAGATAATCCACGCATTCAAGACGAAAAAAGGGCAAACCCTCTACGCAAACCTTCAATATTTATAAATGTTACAATTTAGTTCTGCTTGTTAGTCTTACCCCTTAGTTATTATTTATGTTTTTTACCTTTTGGTTTGTTGTTTCATTTGTTTTAGTTTCATATATATATATATATATATATAAAGCTAAGATGATTACAAAATAATATATGTTTTACATACTCTCAATCATTTGACATTGGCAGCTCAATCATTCTGCTGCTGTCTCTAGTGCTCGAACCCATGACCGGAACAACAACGATTTCTTTAACCATTGAGGTAAGTTGGTTCGTGCTTAAAATATATATTATTGCATGGTTGTGTTTATTAAACTTTTCGTTTTTTTACTTTATGCATATTTTCCATGTATATAATGACTTATTTATTTTACTTTTCCTATTAAATTCCTAATTTGTAAATCATATATGACGTATTTTAGAAATTTGTTTATTATTATTTTTGGTATGTATATAAGCGTTATTTTTAAATGTATTTGTTGGCATTTAAGTTTATCCACATGACATTTCTCTATGTAATACGCAAGTAATCTTCATAAACCATTCATTTGTTTTCTCGTTTTTAAAATATTTAAGGGCAATGTTGTATCGCATCGAGGTTGATGAAATTGCGTTCAACATGACTGAATTTTAATTTTCGTTAATTCACGTAGTAACGGGACATCATTTTAAAATAAAATTGAGTGAATTAAATCATTTTATTGACTCAAATATTCTAAACATAGATTCACTCAATTTTTTAAAAATTCATAAAAATAATCTTAACATAAATTTTAGGTTCAAATTTGTAAAATTCCATTGTTTTAGACAACATATAATCGAAGGGTATCAATTTTTGACGTTGAGGGGTGCTCACCCTTTCTTATGTGTAACCGACTCCCGAATCCTTAAAAAAGAATTCCTAGTTAAACTCAGACTACTTTCGTCTTTTAAATTAATTTTTAAATTTTATTTTAAAAATATTTTAGGTATTCGATCTACCTAACCCAAAGGTCAATGACGACTCTAAATTTCAAATTAAACAAAAATCCAAAATTTCCAAAAATAAGGTCATAATTATTTTTAATATGACTTTTTTATTTTAAAACTTATTTTCTAAAAAAAGGTTATGACATATATTATATAATATATTATAGTTAATGATAAAAAGAAAGAAAGAAAAATAGACAAGTAGAACTTAAATTTAGGCTAATTAAAATATGATAACACCTAAATCAGTAAAAAAAATAATATATTATTAATAAATAATTTAATATTCTAATATTTTTAAATTAAATTGATTTATTTTATATTTATTTATTAATGATTATATATATAAAATTATAATTAATATTAAATTACAAATTTATTTAACATACCCGAACTCACGAGCACAATTTAAAATCAAAAGATAAATTTATAATTTGAATCTTAATTATTTTTTCTTATAATTATAATTTGAACACTAAATTAGTTTTTAATGATTTCATATATATAATCATTAAAAAGTAAATATGAAAACATAAATTTAGTTTAAAAATACTAAAATCTTAAATCAATTATAAATAAACTGTTATATTTATTTTAATAGTTTAAGTACTCTCAAATTCTCAATTGGTCTGGATTTTTGGGACGATGTGGACAATCGGATGGGTCCAGATCCAACGCTCACTGCTGTGCGACACTGGAGAAGAAACCCAAACCCTTGCTGCTAATGGATGGGCCTTCGGGCTTCCATAATTTTATGTTTATATATTTTATGTAATTTTTTCAAATCTAATAATATACGTGCCCGGCGTTAAAGGAGCCTTATCACCAATTTTACCCCGAAAATTATTATTTTGACTTTAAATTTTATTTAAAATTTTATTAATACTAAGGGATATATTTTTTAGAAATAAAATAAGGTCTACCAATTCCCTCAATTGATGAAAAAAGAAACAAATTAAATTATTGAACCTTGTGGCCTAAAAGCTTTCGTCCCCTTTATTAAGCTTTGGTTCAGCCATTTAAATTTTCACCTGCCTTGTTAATTTGTAGGTATCGACTAAAATTTTAAATTGTAATTAAGTTAATTTTTATTATAATTATATTAATTAAAGATTACTTAATTATTAAATATATTTAAATAAAAAATTTAATAATGATTCTCAATGCTCAAATATTTATTTCTATAAATAATTTTAACCTTTAGAATTATGAAAAAAATATTTTGAAGATGTGCAATCCTTTTATAGTTTTATAACTTTTAATTTTACACTGATGCTGATAAGATATTTTGGAATACAACAAATTTATTATACTTATAGTTCAAATATTCCTTAAACTAACTATTTCATTTATATGGTAGATTTGACTTCAAAAAAAAAAAAAATCTAGCCGTCTCTCTCTTTTTTTTCAACCTAATTTTCTTTTAATTATTTTTATGTCACCTTCTTCTTTTTCTTTAGTTTTTGTTTAGCTAGCGGGGTACGAAACTTAATGTTGGTTGTCGACCGCCGATGAATATTAGTTCGTTTGTTTTTTTATTTTATGTCTTATATATTTTTTCTTAAGTCTTCTTTAATTTTTAATAAAAATCTCTATACTTGCACGTTTTTCTTTGTTATTGTGGCACATTTTTTCTCAACTTGTGTGGCACGATCCTTATGGTTTCTGGTATA